AGATAAGGAGTGAACATACACGATTCACCACCGCCATCACACCGGAAGTATTTGATGTGAGAGTCGAAGAAATTAGCAACAAATTTCTGGAATTTGATGAAGATAGAAAGTGCTTCAGATTTATTCATCATGGGGAAGATCCATACATAACGATTGTAGTAATCAATAAATTATATGTAGTAACGAAAACCATGAGCAGATGGAACCGAGGAAGGCCCCCATACATCAGAAACTAATAATTCAAAAGGAGATGAATAAGAATGGAGGTTAGCGGGCAGTGGTAACCGATGGCTCTTTCCAAGAGGACAAGCAGTGCAGCGCGGAGAGGAATTATCAGTGATAGAAATATTGGAAATCCAGAGCACATCCTTGACAACTTGAAGAGAGGGATGACCAAGCCTGTGGTGTCAAATATCAAGGAACTTTATTTCAGCAACTAAAGCAACTGGAAAGGAACTAGTTTGCAGGTGACAATCTGAAGCATCGAACACATATAAGCCATCTCTACTTTTCCCTCGAAGGAGAATCTCCCCCATGGTGCGATCCTTGACAACACAATAGGAAGGGTGGAATTTAAATAAAGCATTGTTGTCATGAGTAAATTGTGCTACCCAGAGAAGATTCTTATGAATATGGGAAACATGCAGTATGTTACGTAAGATGAGAGGTCAAGATTTCCCATGAAAAATAGATGTACCAGTATGTGAAATATGCAGACCTTGGCCGTTACCTATGGTGACTTGGTTAGGACCATGATACTCTGAATGTAATTGGAGCTTTCCAAGATCAGCTGTAAGATGGTTGGTGGCACCTGAGTCAGGATAGCAACAATCGTTTGAAGCAGGAGCAATAGATGCAACGTACGCTATTGAAGTGGAGTTGTCAGTGGTAGGCAAGCGACTTTTGGGTTTGAAGGATTGATTGAACCGGAATTTGCACCAGAATGCCGAGTAATTCCGATCACCACAGATCTGGCAAGGGTTCAATGCATACTTCGATGTTTTTTTTTGTTGGGATGGATGATCCCTATCAGAAGCAGAGTTATCCAACTTGGAAGAGGGAAAAGGGCTCTTATACTTGGGAGTTCTACTAACAGTGTTAGCCGAGGGAAACAACAGGGAAGTCTGAGAACGAGCTTCCATTATGAGTTCTTGATTTAGTAACAAAGCCTGCAAGTCATCAAACGATAGCTCCTCCGATCGAGTGGTTACTGAAGTGACAAAGGCGTCATATTCAGCACCTAGACCATTGAGTGTATAGTGAGAGAGTTCTGATTTTGTCAAGAGTTCTCTAGCAGCAACAAGGTTGTCAGATAGAGTCTTGACTTTCTGTAAGTAATCTGGCATGGAGCAGTCATTTTTCTTGATAAGAAGCAGTTCATTCCAAAGTTGGCTAATACGAACCTTAGAGCAAGAGGCATAAAGAGATTTGAGGGTGGTCCAGACTTCATGGGAGGACTTGCAACCAACAAGTTGGGCAATATAACATTCTCAGTTAGGGATGACAGAAGCCACCCCATCAGAAGTTGATCCTATTGAACCCACGAGGAGTACGTAGGATTTTCCTCGGTGCAATTTTCCAACAACTGAGGTGGGCACTTGTGAGTGCCATTAACGAACCCAGTAAGTTTTGCTCCATTCGGAATAGGAAGATGGTGGAATTTCCAGAGATAGTTTTTACCATCCATTTTAACCGAGACCAGATTTGTGAGACTATTAATCAAAGAACACCAACGATGATGGAGTTGAAGACTAGGCTATTGAGGTTGTTGTAGTTGAGAAATCAGAGGCCATTGCAACACAAACAGGGGTTATCACCGATCGGCTAAGTTGATGGCTCTAATACCATGAAACGATACACTTAGATTGAAGAGAATACAATATCTTTATTGATGAATGATCTAATATTTATATGTAGAGATACAGGAGTTTTAGATATATACAAATACTGGAATGTATATCTGCTATTCTGTTGATAGATAGAAGAGGAGATAAGGATAAACAATATGAGTACAAAAGGCTTATCGCAAGAATCATGGAGGTTGGTTGTGTGATTCTGGTGTGGTCCGACAAGCGTGCATCATCTTACAGGGGAATGTGTGTACATAAATGAAAAACAGTGATGAAAATCACCATACCAAACAGTATAGTGTTGCTCACTACCTACATGGCAAAAGCACTACTAAACAAAAATAAGGCGTATTTCAACAAAAAACGGGTCTTGTAAGCATGAGCATTTTTTGTTGAAAATCGGTCCCAAAAAGTGCTAACGCTTCCAAACACCATGTTAATTTCAAGCGCAACACATTGAGACGTTGAAAATTGAAACTTGAGCATAGGGAAACTAGTAGGGGTCTTCATTATACTGTTCAAACTATTAAATTGAATCAAACCAAACCGTAATTTGCAGTTTGGTTTGGTTGAAATTTAAAACTGTTTGGTTGATTTTTAAATTTTAGAAATCAGACCAAACCATAATCACATTGATACTCACATTCTAACCCTAATCACTTTGATAGTCACATATAGGGGTGGAGCTAGGATTTTTTATTGAGGGAGCCAAAGCCTAGTAAACATGGATAGGAGTGCCAAAAGATAGGATTTTCAAGGCATAGAGAGAGATGTGGCTCCCCTGGCTCCACCCCTACTCACATAGCATATCAATTATAACAGTTTAATGATTTTATGGTGATTATAAGATAATATTTTATTATTTATTCAAGAATATATGTTATTTGGGCTTTCTAATTAGGTTAAGCCCAAAAGAATGGCCTAAACAATAATAAAAATCGCACCAAACCATAATAAAATAGTTTGATTTCATCTGAAAAACTCTCAAGCCATATTTTATCGATTCAGTCTGAGATCTTCTCTAAATCGCACCAAACCAAACCATGAACAACCCTAGAATCAACTAAAAATTAGTTTTGTTGTCTGTTCCGCTATGTTACTATAATTGTCAAGTCCATTTATACACTTCCACTGGCTTTTGTTTTCTATTTTCATCACCAGGGGGTTTAAGACAACCAAAACCCCACGAACCTACCACCAAGATAGTGTTTTGGCAATGGTATATCATATATGTATTTGCTGTTGCATAATCAGCAACACAAGGCGTGCACGTGCCATGCCCCCCCAATTGTACATCCTTTTTCTCAGAATTATATATACAAAATCCAAAGTGGGTCATTTGGTGAAAACAATTACGGCTAGCTGCAAAGGGATTGTTTAATAAGGATTGCAATTGGATATTGAATAGTGTAAGCAATTTAAACTAAAAATGATTAAAAGATTATATATTATTGATAAAAGAAACTAAAAATAAATGTTATAGATATTGTATTTCGTGAACAAAATGGATTGAAAATTACTTAAAAATAAATTTAAAGTATATGAACATATGTATTTAATCAAATGAAATTGGATTATGGTAGGGTTGGATCTACATTTGATCCATTTATAAACCGATTGAATTTGAATCATCCTTTAAGGGATGGAATTCGAATTTGGATTCAGACAATCAAGTACGCTTTCCATCCCTGTTTCCAAGCTAATAACAACCAAAATAGCTAAACTGAATGGCTTAATATTATTACCAAAAAAATATTACTTAATATTAACCATATGAAGGAGGTCGCCTTCTATTCAAAACTCTTTTCATATCATATTTTTTCTGCATCATAGAATGACACGTCATTCAGATTCAGCTCAGCTAATCCGGAAAGCATGATCAAATGGAGTTTTAAACGTGTTTGATAAGGTAGCTTTTTTTATTAATGTTTTTCAACTAGACTAGACTATAGGATTGGACAGTTTACAAATTTCTTTATCATTTTCCATTTTTCAAATGTAGCGTATCAAGACGGAATTAAATAGGAATATCCTGCATGCATAAAATTCTAAGATATATTATTATTGCCTGTGGCCCTATACAAATTATTATATATAAATTAAACAAACATAATTTTTACTCATTTATGTAAAATACTGGTGTACCTAATTATTTTCCTTTCAGTCCGAATGAATACAGTTTCAGTTTTACTTGTATTACCATTTTCAAAGGATTTGGTGTACAGAAACCAGCACAGGGAGGGTATCAGGTGTGTGTGCTGCTGCTGCATGCGCTTTTCAAACAAATACCCTACATTATTGAAATGGGTTCAAGTAGTAAAAATTTATCTTAAATATACAATAATGGATATGGCACTAAAAGAACGAAATTTGGGTTTATGCAACCGATTTCATAATATAATTTGGATAAGGCTTAGATGTATATACTATATATCAAATCTTCTAGAATGTGCAAAATTGTGACTTCAGTTTTATATAGTAATTCATGTAAGAACATGTGTTATATTATATACATGTACAAAGTAAGAATTAAATCATATATAACATATAGTATTTAAATTCAACTTTTATAATATGCATGAATGTGAAGGTAAATATCTACCTTCAATTATATAATAATAATAATAATAATAATAGTAATAATAATAATAATACAAATAAATAAATTAGATCCAATCAATGTTTGGGTTCTCATTTCTCACTCTAATAATTAGTCTCATAATTATGAGAAACAAGTAATAAACTATTTCTGGTATTCAGATAAACCCAAAACCTCTTAAATAATCAGACAACACTCATCTTACCAGGCACCCACGTAGGAGACATAATGCATGTTGATTTGATGACACCTTATGGATGAATAAACAAGAGCTTGTGTAATGAGGGAAGAAAGAAACAAAACTGAGTTGGATTACTACGACGGCATAATGGTAACACGTGGTGTGTTGCTACTGGTCATATTTCTTATTTAAAATATAAAAGATGCATATATAGGCTGTGTTTGGAATCGTGGGCGTTTTCTCACTAAACGCTGCGACATAGGTGACACATAGGCATTTGGTCCGATAAACGTTTATTAGTGGTTAACCGGCTGTTTGGTGTGACCGTTTTTCGAAAAAACACCGATAAATGGGTGGATTTTCGTGCAATGATTCGTTATGGGAAGTGAAAATTTCTCGCTTCCCGCAATGGTTTAAACTCATGCCCCAAACCCTTACCATTGTGCGAGAGGGACTTGCGCAGGGAGATTTGCTTCTCACGCTGACCAGAGAGGGTGTGCCGCCGGTAAGTTTGCCATCAACCGCTACAAAATCCTTCTCCTCGACGCAGGCCGTATGTTTCATACTGACCACTACGATTTTTTTTTTTTTTTTTTGTCTAGCAGCCCTAATTCGGCGTGGTGTTGCTGTTTCAATACACCAGGAAGGTGCTTCGTTGCTGTTTATTTCCCGATCTGAATGGTATGTCATACCTACCCCTTCATCTGAAAGTCGATCATCTAGTGAACTTTCCTTTGCTTCAATAAGATGTTAACTCTGTTGTCTTCTTTCTTCTTCATTTCTAGGAGTCCATTGCAACTGCTTCGGGTATAGAAACAAGTGGTAAAGTTGGGAGTTGATAATTGAAGGGGACATGGGCTACAACTAACTACTCCTTTGAATGGTGCATCGATCAATTTAAGCTGATCTACGTGAAGTTAGTTTGGTGAATCTGTACCAAACCAGATGATTAACAGGTACATGTACATGTAGGCAAAGTCCGATGGGAGAAATTTCCATATCTTGTGCGAGTCAAATGTATGACAAATCTTGGAAGCTTGGTATTCGTTGACGTTGAATTCATATGACATTGAATGTACAAAGGGTATTTTCGACCATCGGCCCATATTGATCCCCTATACCTGTCATTTTAGCCGTTGGATGTGATTTTCATCCAAAAGCAACCGTTGGATTTCAAAATATATATATGCGCAAAGGGTAATTTGGACCATTAAATTTCAAAATATGACACTCAAAAATCAAGGAGAGGTGTCACACCAAATCACCCATATGGCCACCCACTTCTTGAAATGCCCTTAACGGATGCGAGGTTTGCACTGAACATGAATTAGGGTCGTCAGTGTAACAGGAAAGCAGAAAAATAATTTCATTTCAGAATAAAGTGCTTTCATAAAAAAAAAAAAAAAAAAAGAATTCAAATTCTCGGTGTCACTTTTTTTGGTGCTCTAACTCAACGGGCTACATAACAGGGACTCAGGTGTAGGTGGAGACCTTATCAACCAGCGGGTTGGCAGTTGACACCTTGCCTCCATGTCACTTTTTTACATTTCTACCATGTTATGAAATGACTTGGATTGAATTTTTCAGCAATAAAAGATGACAGTGGGGGTGGGGTGAAAATGAAGCTTTGTTTTAAGAACTTATATGCATGCTTTAATGGAAACTATTCATCAATGTATTGGATTCATGTGAAAGGCCCATCCTCTTAATTAGCTTGAGCTAATCAATTATATTTTTTACAATAACATATGTCATGAAGTTGTTGGGAGATAGCTAGATAACCAATCCCTTTGATACAAATAAATACAAATATCGATCGGGAGCCTTGGTGTGGGACGCAACCATCAGTAAAGGTGCCCCTGGTTTTTTAAATTAAACAAAATTGGGTAAGACCGTAAGAGTACGTACGTGCTTCCCAAGTTCGTCATCCATTCACATCGTGATCGTGCTTGCTTTGGATATTAAATAAATAAATAATGATTAATTAATTACTACTACCAGTACATATACAAGAAATTAAAATTAAAAGCTCAAAGCAGACCTATGATCTGTCGACCAATGAGTAAGGATAGAAAAAGACATTTGAATTTGAATGCCGTTACTGGATGGCTTAATATTAGCGCGTATTTGGATGATGACGAATCATGAATGGTCGGTTTAGATATCCAAAACGCACAGCAACCCCTTCCCTTCCTTCCAGAAGGTCAGAACTCCCGACCCTCACCTAAATTAAGGTCAAACCTCTCTCTAACCCTCACATATAAGAATTGGCATCCGTTCTCCTCGTCTCACTACGATCTCACAGGCAAATTCCATCGTGCATTGAGAATATCTCCCATAAATAATAACATATAAGTATGGAGAGATATTCTCAATACAGGATGGGATGTACCTGTGAGGTCACAAAAAAATTAAGCTATCTTGATATTTTATTATTTTCTTTTTGTTTTGTTTTTTTTGTGGAAATTGAATTTTATTACAAACAAGGAAAAGCCAAACACTACAAATAAATTGAAACAGGCATGAAAAACAGAAGAAAAAAGCAAACAACTACAATAAAGGAAAACCAGAAAAAAGCCTACAAACGATTACAGAAAGCTAAGTCCAAATTTACTACATTAGAGAGACACAAGGGGCTAGAAAAACTAGATTCAAAATCCCTTGAAAAAATCATATCTGGCCGCTGTATATGCTGCTTGGTTTGCTTCCCTCGGACAGAATTGAACTGTGGAGTTTCTTCTAAATGTAACTTTTTTTATATCCCTGCACCAGAAGAGAATTTTCAGGTCTTCACAGCCATTAGCTTCATTTAAATAATCAACTAAAACTTTGCAATCGGATTCAAAAATGAGATCTGATTTGTTCATTTTATCTACAAAAACCACCGCCTTTACGAGAGCTTGAGCTTCTGATTTCAAAGGAGACAAAGCTTCTGATTTCCCAAAGCCCACACCCCAGCAGCACCCCAAATGATCTCTAATAATGAAGCCAAAAGAAGCCTGTCTTGAAGATTCCAAAAAACCACCATCAATATTAACCTTCACGATGCCTTGTTCTGGTGGAGTCCTAAAAACATCATTCTTTTTCTAGCTAATCTTGGAAGAGCTTTCTGATCTCTCCTGCCATAAATGATATCTCTCCATTATTGACCTGCAAATTTGAGATATGACAACAAAGGAATTTGGATTTTCATTTTCAAAATAAGATAAGTTTCTATCTTTCCAGATACTCCATAAAACATAAGCAATGTCTGCTAATTTTTCCAGGTGAGTCTTTCCCAAACTGAGGAAGATATGTACTAACCAGTCCTTGAAACTTTGGAAGTTTTGACTGGAATTTGGATTAATACCGACTCCAGACCCCAACCAAATGCATCTTGATTTATCACAAAGGAGTAGAGCATGGGTAATTGTTTCTATTTCTTTTACACATCTTCCACAAATATTAGAGTCACCTACACCCCTTTTTGCAAGATTTTCTTTAACAGCTAAACCATTTACATAGCATCTCCAGAGGAAATGTTTGATTTTTGGTTTTGATGGAATACTCCACACCAAATTCTAGAATTTTTTAATTTGTGTGGAATCTTCAGGAATTGTTGGGTTTTCTTCTTGGATTTGTTTAGTTAGGAAGTAAGTTGATCTAACTGTGAATTTTCCATTTTTGTTACCTAGCCAGGTTAATTTGTCATCCCAAGGGTTTGAGGGGATTTCAATGTCTAGAATGTTTTGGATAAAGCCATCAGGTATAGTAGAATTTATCTTTTCATCATTCCATCTGCTACTCACATGGTTTATTAGCTCAAATACCCTTAATTTCTCACTGTTTTGGTGCCTTGGGCCCATTAATTTGAAACCACTTATGTTTAGAATCCAGGGATCCTCCCACACTTTTATATTGGTTCCATTTACTAAGGTAAGGAAACCACTTATGGGGATCCATTTACTAAGATCTGATAGGAAACTATGGATACACACTTCATGATCCAAGCAATAAATTTATTACCAAAATCCATCATTTGCATAATTAACTTCAAAAAATCTCATTCAACTCTATCATAGGCCTTGCTCATATCTAGCTCAACTGCCATGAAGCCTTGCTTAGCTTTTGTATGAGTCATATAGTGCATTGCTTCATTGGCAATTAAAATATTATCAGTTATAGCTCTCCCAAGGATAAAGGCACTCTGGTTTTCTGATATTATGCCATCTAAAATAGGCTTCATCCTGTTTATCAAAATTTTTGCAATTATTTTGTAAATAGTATTGCACAGACTGATTGGTCTGAATTGAGAAGCTTCTTCCAGATTTTTGACCTTTGGAATTAGAGCTATGAAGGTTGAATTGAGATTTCTGTTTATTTCTCCTGAGTTCAAAAAAAGCTAAGACCTCTTTTACTACATCCTCCTTCACAGTTTCCTAGAAAGTTTGAAAGAATAAGTTTAGGAAACCATCCAATCCCAGGGCTTTCCTAGGAGCCATTTGGAATAAGACTTCCTTAATCTCCTCTTCTGGGACATCCATTTCCAGGCTTTCACTGTGAGAATTATTTAAAATTGTTTGGAAGCCTTGTAGAGCCAATTCTATATCTGTAGGCCTAGAAGATGTGTAAATTTTTTGGAAGTGATTTTCCATAATTTTTTGAATATTTTCTTGCCCCTCTATCCACTCATCATTTTCATTTTTCAGTTTCAAAATTCTATTTTTTGCTCTCCTTCTAATTGTTTGATTATGGAAAAATCTTGTATTTTTATCCCCAAACTTTAACTAGTTAACCCTAGCTTTTTGGGCCCACATGATTTCTTCTCTTTTTAACCATTCATCTAATTGTTGTTCAATTTAGTTTACTTTTGCTTGATCATAATTAGATCCCTTTTTTTTCCCTTTCTATAGTGAGCTCCCCCCTAAAATTCTATATGCACAACTTGTTCCAATTTCTCAATGATCGCTAGGACCAATGAGACGCTTCACACATACACATATATGTAATTAATATTGCAAACTTAACTTAGGAGAGAATTGTCATTGTAACAATATAATACTAGGGACCAATGGAGGAGATAGGGATTTTCTTTTGGGGGCCGAGTTATATAGATATTTTTTTATTTATGGTAATGAAAAAAATTATGTTAAGTCAATTACATTATATAGATTTGCAACATGAACAATATTACTATAGAAAGTTAGAAATGCATAAATGATATTTAGGGTGAGAGGGCTTCCATATCTGTTGGTTATAGGCTTTGCGGCAACTCCCAAATCCCATATACTACTTAATTTTCAACGTAATTGGCTTATTTTTCCTATGGTCTATGTTCTTGAAAAAAAAAACAAGAAGATGAGATAGAGAATAAATAGGACCCGGAGAGAAATAGGGTATGAGGTTTTGGATCTATTATGGGGTTTTTATGAAAAAATAAATAAATAATTTCTTTTTTCTTATAAATTTGGGAGTTAAGTGGAGGGGCATTAGGGAGTTAGAGAACACTCCTTAATATTTTTGTTTAGCTAGTGGGTAATACAAAGGTCTATTGGTTTTAACACCCCCAACTTTATACTTGGCTCCGCCCCTGCCAGGGACTGTGGTGAGGTGACTACAAGGACTCCATGAGACCCATGATTGCCTTAATGGAAGTAAGTACATGAAGGAGCCAAGTAAAGTTCCTGTTGGGAATGATCCCCATATTTTTTCTTGTGTAAATCAAAGAGATTTTAGCAATAAATAACAAGTATGCAATAATAAAACAAATAGTTGCACGCAAAGCAAGTAACACTAGTAGATACCAAAATTTATGTGAAAAACTCCTTAATGTAAGGGTAAAAACTATAAAACCAAAATCCAAATAATTTACTATCAATAATGAAAATGGAATATGATATATTTCTATCTAGTCACAGGTAGATGATAAACATCAAAGAAGTTCTTGGATTCCAATAATAAAAACATCAACAAAATAGATAACAAACAAGATGTTTCTCACCAAGAGTGGAAGCATAACAAGGAAGCAAGAAGAGATACTAAAAAAACGGATTTGTCTTTTTCGTTTCAACCCTTTAAATCTTCTTATTCTTCCCAAAAAACCTTCTTCTCAATACCCTTTTCTTTCTCTAATACTTTCCCTTATGTTATGTTTGGTTTGAAGGAAAAAGTAGGGAAAGGAAAGGAAATATAGGAAAACCTATACAAGATTTGTAAAGATTTCCCTACATTTCCCTACTTTTTTATTCAAACCAAACACAACCTTAGAAAACTGTTAGATTTGAGAGAGTAGTGAATGAACTATTCAAATTCATTGGGTAGCCAAGGGTCTTTTAAATTTTCCTTATTGTCCTAATACACTTTTTCTTCCTTTTGTCTTTATTGACTTGTGGTCCCACGCCCACCTCACGAGGGGGACAACCCAACTGCTCCCCATCTGGAATTCTGGATTGCTGCAATGCTGTTCTAATAAAGAAACTTTTCACAACCCATCGCTGATCAAGTCGGTCCAACCAGTAATCCAATGACCCAATGATAATGTTGGTTTGGGTCAATTCTAATCATAATATCAAGAAAAACCATTGACCTGGTCAATGATTGTGATATGATGGTCAAATGTCAAACATGTCTAATTTGTTTTAAGGGCGATTTGTTTTTTTTTTTTTTTAAATTCTTCTATTATAATGTTATAATGATAGTATGGAATTTAACTCATATTGACTTGGACAATTCAATCGTTGATCCATTGACAAAAAGAAAACAACAGTTGAGCCTCGTTGCTTTCGTATGCCTGGCAAGACTGTCGTTTTGCTTCAAATAACCTCCCATTTAATAAAGAAACCAATGTTGTGAGGTTCAGATTGGATTGGACGATTGGGCCGTTTGGACCATCAACTAGAAGCGAAAAATGGATTCTATTCGATAGAGGTAGGGGTGTTAATTGGACCAGATTTCGTCCAATCTGATTCAGTCTAATATGAATTTTTATAAATAGACAAGGTCCAATCCAATCCAATGAATATTTTAAATCATTTTGGACTGGTCTAATTTAATATCTGGACCATCCAATTTGTTCAAATTAGTTTTAATTTAGATTGATTTTAACCCAAACCCAATCTATTGACACCTGTTTTTTTAATGGACCAGATATTGGTTCAATCCCACCCAGTCTAATGTAAATCGATTACGATGGACTAGGTCCAACCCAATTCAATAAATAAACGATTAAATCTGAATTGATCCAATGCAATATATCTTATTAATGGTCTGTCCAAATAAATTTTAATTTGAATAGGATCCAACCCAAAACCGGTCCATTAACACGTTAGATGGAGGTTTCTTAGATATATTAATTTGGTCAAAATTAGTACAAATTAATAGGTCACTATTTCAAGCTTATTTTAAAAATATTTATTATTTGATTTTTTTCATCTCTTAATTGAACGATTGTGGAATACTATGAATCAGCTATGACCAACTGACCAAATACCACAACCCTACAGCCGGAGACCATAATCTATTAAACAAGTTATTAACATACGGACAACACAAACACCAACTATAGGCGGTTTAATTTATTGATAAGCCTAGGTAGCTGAGCTAATCTATAGCTTTTCAATTGCCAACTCTCAGATTGAAGCTTGGAGAGATTAGTCTTTATCTTATCTACAATCTCTTCAATTTTATCCAGTATAGGTTTAACCAGCTCACCTGACGTTGCTTTTGACTCATGGGAAATCTAATAACCGGAATTGACCTACATGTGCATCTAAGTTGATCTAACCCAATAAAACCACCTGATATTCCTTTACACAAGCTGCTACTTTAAACTGGTTCTCCCTATGACCCTATAGCTGGAATAAGGTAGGTCAGGATTTTATTACGAGTCACGAAGGTATTCATCAAATGCCGAAAAAACGAATTGAACCAAGAAAAGTGAATCAAAAACAACCGATTAACCAAACCTGCTATATATAGACAAATAGATGGATAGATAAATAATCATATATTTATTTTTAATATATTATAAATATAAAAATCTAAAAAATGAAAAATCAAATGTTTGGTTTTGGTTCAAAATATTACAAAAGCTGAAGGGTATACCCACTGTTTGGTTAACCAAGCTATGGATACCCCTATTAACCAATCAAGAAGATGGCCTTAAGGATTTCGAAGAATTCTCCAATGTGGCAATGTTGTTATTAATATATTAATTTTATACACTTTTACCAGGTTTCTCAAAGATAGTTGGTCATTATATAATCGGATGTAGAGCCACATTTGTGTTTTTTATTTAATAGTATTCTAAGAAATTGTTCTATTTATTATATTACAACTATGTCAATTGACACTAAAACTAAAGTGCCACCCAGAAGGCCAGCACCAAATTACATCATCTCCTGAAAGATGCGGATGCCTACTTGACTTTTATTTCATATATTAGTCTAGTTAATTAAACTACATTTCACCCCCAGTTTATTTGCTTAAACGCCAAGGGGATGAATTGCAACATGGTAGGGAAATAATATTGTTTTATGTTGGTTATAAAATGCGTTGCCTTGGGTTGTGCATTTTAACGATTCTTTTGATGACTGGCACTTAATACCGTAATTAACAGAGCAGCCCAAGAACGCTTATAAATGGAATTTCAAAAAAGAAAAGAACAACAAAAACGTTGTGGAAATCAGACTGGTCAAGGGATAGCACTTTGGGTTTGGGTTTCTGCTGGTGGTCTGAATCACTGAAGGTTATTAATGCTCATTTTTTATTTAATTTGATAAAATTAATACAATTACAACCAGGTCAATTAACTTTAAGGCCTAGTTCGTTTTTCGGTAAGTTATTTATATGGGTAAATGCAATTATTTAGTTAAGTTTTTTTTAGATAAGTTTATATGGGTAAATGCAATTATTTAGATAAGTTTTTTTTGGGAAACACTTACTCAAGTAAGTGCATTTATCCATGTCTTTTATTTTTCAGGTAAATAAGGCAATGACCATTTTAGCCATAGAAATCTATTATTAAAAGAGGCATTTTTGTCCATTTAAGTGTTGACAACTTTCCCCCTATGTGGGAAAATTATTTATTCACCTAGGAGATGTGTATCACTTTCCTGGGTAAGTGATACCCAGGAAAATAAACTTTCCCTGATCCCCACATATAGCTAAAAAAAAAAACATAAGATTCAAGTATTGGCAACTTTCCCCTATGTGGGAAAGTTATTTACCCACCTAGGAGATGGGTATCACTTTATCACTTTACTGGGTAAGTGATACCCAAGAAAATAAATTTTCCCTGATCCCCACATATAGTTAAAAAAAGAACATGGAATTCAAGTGTTAGCAACTTTCTCCCTATGTGGGAAAGTTATTTACCCACCTAGGAGATGGGTATCACTTTCCTACATATCACTTACCCAGGAAAATAAACTTTCCCTGATCCCCACATATAGCTAAAAAAAGAACATGGGATTCTTGATCAATAGGAAACAAAATCCCATTGACCAACTTTTTCCCCTCTCCAAATCCAAAAAAAGAATGTTCCCTAATTTTCTTAATTGTGAAAATGTTTGTTTTATTTGATTAATTAGTCTTTTAATATAGTGTCAATAAAATAAGTATATTATAGGTTGAAAATCATATTTATATTTTTATGTGACATTAATTGCGCCCTCCACACGCAAGGTGCATGGAGAGTCACGCATGACCTACCTTCTGGAAGTACTCAGAGAGGGACTTTTGCAGTACAAAATTTAGGGGAGTTCGTTATGATATCATATATTTAAATTCTAATCGGCAAAACCTTTGTTATAAATTAAGAACAAAACTTTTTGTTTACAAATAAGTAGAGAGAGAAATCTATATAAATTATATTATTGAAGACCGTGTTAACGAGAGGACTGCATATATAAATTACATTTTCAGAGCTTATCAAAAGCAAAGCCTCAAATGTAAGTGGGTCGGGTGGTGATCAAATTAACAATGTAATCAACCCAACCTACTGGTTAGCCAAAAAAGAAAAATCAACCCAACCCAATTGAACTTCTGTTTGAACATAAGATGCAGTGTAGCGTATGGGCCTCATGCTATTTCACAGGTCTACAAGGCTCGGACCAATATGGCGATATTCTCCTGTCTCTGGGGTGGTGCCCCTTATTAAGACACATGTTTCGGGGTGCCCATTTGGGAGAGCTTTCCAGTGGTGGCTTTTTGGCTTTGCATGATGGGCTCCACTCCTACAGGTTACAGCATATTAGCAATGTTTGGTGAGAAATCTAGAAAGTTCAATTTTGTTGTCCAACAAAAAAGAGGGCTTTCTATTGAAGTTAGGTGGGCCGGTTCAGTGATTCTTTGGTGATAGTCAAACCAGCTTTTGTTGAGATGAGGGAGACCGTGGATCGCCATCCTCTCTTGGTGCACCAAAGGTGGACGAACTGACCAATTCTAGAAGCGTATACCGCTACGTACATAATTTGGGTATGACGACTCTGGTATAGGCAAGCTAGACCTGTCGCACATTGGGCTGACTCTCTGCCCCGTTCTTCACGGGCCGGTTGCCTAAACCCAATCTTGATGACAGGAGTAATGTATGTGACACCTCTGAATAAGACAGCAAAGGGGTGGACTGCACAACGGGTCGGGTCTTGAATACATCCAGCAAAACCCATATCCACTACGTCTAAATGTTAAAACATATGAAGTCCAGTTCTTTTTACGGGTCCCATGGAGTGTCCATGCCCAACCTATTTATGTATTGGGAGGGGATTACAGCTAGGATACGAACAGGGTTGAGCCGCTCCATCTCATGTCCTTCACATGAAATAGCAACAGTCTCATCTTCATATTTGTATAGCGCAGAGCAATCCTTATTTACACAACTAATGGATTGGCATTGGACAATGCTATATTGCTATTTGCCAATCCATTTTAGATATATAGTTGATACTTGTAGTGAGTTAATAGAATCAACACTCAACAGTCAGTGAAAGTTGAAAAGTAGTAGTGGCAAATAGGCTCACCTCACCACCTTCTTCATTAATTGTGTGATAGATTATTCTCTCATATTAATTAGCAATTAGCAATGACTAAAGGATAACCGAAATTAATACCGATTCAACATTCTAATCATTCTCCTACAAGATATATATTTAATTGTTCAAAAAAAAAAAATACAAATCAAAAAGAAGCAAAGAATACAATACTAGTCCCAGTCTCCCAGATCATCAAGTAACGAACATGCAGAAGCCCAAGAACATTTTGGTTGTTTATTAATTAATAACAGAATCTTAATTAATTCAATGGTGTAAGAATGGGTTAAACCTGCTCACCACCTTCTTCACACGCTCTACCAAGGTTGTGTTAGATACCGTGCCATCGTTCCCTGCCAACAGCGTGTACTTGTCCTTCCTCGTCAAGTTGGTGCACTCGAACCCAAGCTTATTAGCTAAGATCCTTTGTACATAATTTGCCACGTCATACGAGCTCCTACCGGCCGAGCATGTCAATTCCACTGGTAACTGGTTCAAGAATTGTACTTCATAAATCGGACGAGGGTTCATGAAAAAGAAGATGGGGTCGAAACCCTTCCAACCCCTGGCCGTTGTTGCATGAAAGAGCCCAACCCTATGGTTCATGGCTACCGGAACTATCTGGTCTGTCAACTCAGCAAAGAGTGAACTGAATCTCAAGAGAAAGGGTTCTCGGCAAGTTGTACCCTCGGGACACATTACAAGGTCCCCTTTGGCAAGCTCTCGTCTAATCTTCTCGGCGTCTACCTCCCGGATTCTTGTTAAACGAACAGTTGGTATCGGTGAGAGGATCTCCGATAACCGGGAAAGGGAGTATGTAACTGCAGTCACCTTGCGTCCAAGTGCGGTGGACAGGACAACAGGGTCCATCAGGGTGCGATGCGTGCAGACAAAGAGAACTCCGCCGTTGGACCTTGAAGCCGGAAGAGGTGGTGTGCCTCTTATGATGAGGCCCCCTCCAAGTGGTCGAGCAATGTAAGGAACGACCCACAGGGGTAGCACCAGCCCAATTGCTATACGTATGAAGGCAAGCACGATTCCAAATGGTAGCCACAGGAGGATGAGAAGGGCCATCGACGGTGTCGGACGCTTGATTAGCCGGCCGTCGTGGAAGACGACCGGGACCGGACGTTCGTCCTGGCATTGGTTGGTGACAACAAATGGTGGGAGGTGATTTTCCTGCACGCAGTTTACGTATCTTTGTTAGCGTTAAAGTGTGCACACTAGTTTACATATTCTTAACCCATTAATCTATGAAAGATCTATTCCAGAAATTAGTTTTAATCACCTTACAGAAAGAAAGCAAGGGTGGAGCATATGTGAATCGACCTAAAGCAACTATGGGTTGTTCATCATTGAACAAGACCTTGACACGATTGGTGATTGAAGGAATGTCGTTTCTAACAAAACCAGTGGCAAAGCCAAACCTGTTCACCTCGAGCTCGCTTCCGACCACTTCATTGCCACGTAGATGCTCTTTCACGAACCTCTCCGCCATAACTCTTGGACCCTTAGTCACCACAATCCGATTTTCGTAGGAGCTGAAGAGCTTCCAGGCTTCCATATCCAGATCATCCATGTAAAACTTTGGTAACACCGCACGTGAAACAGATTCGATCTCAGATGCAGGGACTCCGGCAACGGCCACAAAAATGGTCAGCTTTAGAGCTGCGTCTCCCATCCCAAGCATGTCTAGCAAGAAAATCGCCGGCCATACCATCAGCAAAAGGGTGAATCGAATCAAGCCCGAGGCCTCGAACGCTACTAACATGAAGTAGGAGAAGGGATCAGCATCTTTAAGAAGCGTGCCTTCCAACTCCGACACGACAGATCTCTCCATTGGGGTGGTGCTCCTGCTCCCTTCCATATATGTTAATTAAGGACCTTGAGTTGAGTTGAGGTATTGCTTTAATTTGGAGATTATATATGTGTCCTACGTTCTAAATTAATTTCTCTAACTAGCTAGCTAGAATCGATAATTTAACAATGATTTAAGCTATATATGAAAAGATGGTTTCGCTTGAGCAGTCCTCAACTGGGAAAGAATTTTTGGGCAGTTCATTAGTTCAACTAATCCCTCTTCCTCTTCTTTTTCCTTGGGCAAAGGTAAACCCGCCAAATGAAATGGAAGAAGAATCAGACGCCACGCAACATCCAAAGACGGGCTTACTTAACTCCAACCACCTTGCGATTGCGGATTGCGCTTCCGATCGACTCGCCCACCTAAAAGAAAGGTCAAGCCGTTCTACCTCTTGCTCGTAGTCGTAGCCTCGTAGGTTACTTACCCAGCTAACGCGAGCCGTATATATTTGGATTTATATACATTTATATGGTAAAGGATTGGATGAACTCATGCGCGATATATGTGGTCATGCACAGACTGTTGGCGATCCGGTCATCTTTTGAGTTTTGAGAAGGTCACTTGGCATTGACCCCATCCATGGAGTAGAATTATATTGTGAGTTCATTAATGGTGCTGTGACACTTCCTTGCAAGTTGCAACCCTCTAAAGTCTAAACAAGGAAACTGGAACCACCCCCTACCCCTAAATTGTTCATTCTCTTAAGGCTATGTTTGGTTTGGTTTGAGGGAAAAGGTAGCTAGGAAAGGAAGGGGAAAATGTAAGGAAAAATCCTATAAAGCCCTGGAAACTCCTGTACCCGTGGTTGCTGATGAAGTAATCTTATGCACAATTTATAACAGCTAGCGCAGGCTCTCCATGGTGACTTAACTTCAAATCAGATATGGCAAATTTGCCAGACTGAATGGAAGTGCAAAAACAGTAGTCCAGTACGTCCCAACTTTTCTCTAATATGGCCAATGAGCCTTATGTGGACCTTGTTATCACGAGTCTTAGCTAGTCTGGATATGTTAGGCACACTCCGAGTCCCTTCGGGAGGGCTTATGCATTTGAGGTGCGTTGCATTAATTGAACTGCGGTGGTGGATCATATATTTGAGCAGTGGAATTAGGTTTTAAAAAATAACCCGGAAATGAAATCATTCTGGCCACCGATTTATGGGTCGACGTTTTGATCATCCAGTTCGAACAGGCGGTCCATTCTGACAACAAAAAGTTAAAACAAAAATTAAAAAAACAGCCAAAAACCGTTGAATGGGTCGATGGTCCGAGTGCCCAGGTCAACGGGTCATTGACCAATTCAATGGTTTTTGGCCAGGCAAGGGTTTTGGTAAAATAGAACCAGTTGCCTGAATGGTTCTCGGGCCAAATAGTATGATCGTCTGGGTTAACGACAGTTCAAAAACCATGCAATGGAGTGGCCTCTGTTGGTTATCCAAATTTTTACCAAATACAGCAGGCATTCCCCTATATATGAAGCTCAGCTCAGAACACCATAAGCCGTGTCCCAAAAGCCCTCCCAAACAGGCACTCGGTGAACATACGGAATAGAAATCGGCTTAAATGCTCACAAGACCATGTTCACACCGTTCCAGCTTTAATTAAGAATATCTTTCTAGTGTGAACAGTGACACTGAAGTCGATCTCTACAGAATAAGTGCACAATCAGGACTCTATAATTAACCCATCAACTACATAAAATTCATATGCGTCAAAGATTTTTTGCACTTAATTGTGCTGAATTTGTCATGTATTCATTTTGTGACTAGGCTAATCCAAGACAAATTTGAATCCGATCCAAAATCCAAAATTTCAAATTCTAAATTTAAATATATCCACCTTTTGGGATCCATTGACTGGCCTATTTAATTTGTGAGAGGAGTTCAGTCATATGTGTGTAGTCTCATTATGGGTATTTTATACATGCATTGGGACACCTATTACAAATTTGGTGCCCCACATAAACATCTCAGCATGCATTGAAAATATCTCTCATATTTATGATTGAGAGATGTTTCCAATACACGGTTAGGATGTAAATGCGCCCATTCGTTCAGTACAAACATTCAGCATATTTAGGCTCCTTTCATATTGCACCCAACCACTTATGATAATTCTTTCATAAATCACCTAGCCACTTATGGGGTCAAAGCAGAAAAACCTTGGCTGTTTGGAAAAAATAGCCCGAACTGTTGGGGAGCTTCCAGCACAAACAACAATACTCTTTTCTTTTTTATTTGATATTTAATAGTGGTCATGTTTTATCAGTTATCAAGATTTGAGTTATAAAAACATCAAAATAAACAAACTCCTATTAATAAGACTAGTGTTAATTAACCCTTGGACTCCATTTGGAAGGAGGTAGAGCGCAAAACTTTATATTTTGTATATTTTGTATGAATTTGTACTATGTATTTATACTCTTTTCAAATTAACCCTTAAAGTAATACTTATGATACTTTGAACTTTGAATCAGATTGCTTAATTTCAAATTCAAATTTGGATAAAATGAAACCATTTTCCAGCCCTACAAGAAGAGGAATGCTAAGGACTCCAGTTAGTCAAATTCTACATTTAGACTGGTTTCAATTTCAAATTTGGATCAACTATGTGGTTTAAGCTTTTAAAGCAGACAACTGGCTCAATTGGGTTGGGGGGG